CACTAACTAGTCATCCTCAACATGAAGGAACGATGTCATCAGAAGTGACCAGATCTCCTCATCACGTAGGAGCTGTGTCGTTTCTAAAATCTAGTTATCTCCAGGCAATCAGATTTCCTCAACAAGAAGAAATAGTGTCGTCTTTAGATACAATCTTTCAGATACGACTAGATGTCCTAATCAAGTAGGAACAATGTCGTCCACTGACTAGAACTCATCAACATGAAGGAGCAATATCATCAGAAGTGACCAGATATCCTTATCACGTAGGAGCCGTGTCTTTTCCCAAAATCAAGTTATCACTAAGAAATCAGATTTCCTCAACAAGAAGGAACAATGTTGTCTTCAGATACAATCTTTCAAATACGACTAGATGTCTTCATCAAGTAGGAACAATGTCGTCCACTGACTAAACTTCCTCAACCCGAAGGAACATATCGTTTGTATCCTTTGAGATTGCTTCTCTTGAAGCAAAAATTTCATCTTGCTTATCACAGTTTCTCTTGAAACACAAAACAAATTTTGCATCTCTCGAGGCAGTTTTATCTCTAAAGCAAAAAAGTTTATCTCACATGAGATAATTTTTTTTGAAACTAATTTTATCTTGCTTAAGATAGTTTCTTTTGAAACCCAAAGCTTCGGCATCATTTCTATTGAAATAAGATATGTTTTGCTTAAAATTTCTCTCTTGAAAGTTCTACCCTTTTGAAAATATTTCCCTTGAAACGAAAAATCTCTTTTGAGATAAAAATTGTTTTCAATCTCACTTTAGACAACATTAATTTTTCAAAACAAAAGATAAAAACGGGCAAAAACGCGTCATCTTTTTATCTTTGTTAACAGGAATAGACAAAGAGGGACAACTGTAGACACCTATTTTTTCCCGGGTTATTATTTATTTATTATTATTATTATTATTGGTGTTGTTACTTGTTTATTATTATTATTATTAAATTTTATTTACATTTGTTTTGTAGGCCCATTACGAGCAATCTTGACCAAAACCCAATCAAGCCCACCTAGTAGCCCAACACCAAGCTCACACATGGTGACCCATTCAACTAGGGTTTTCATTTTTACCATCCAACCGCTGCTCGTTCATGGCCGTTAGATCTGTGTTTAATCCAACGACCCAAATGAGATGGATCCCTAGGGTTTCATCATAAACCTAGGATTGATAAGTCGCAGCCACTGCCTAGCCCTGCTACGTCATCGACTGCCACCATCTGCTCCTGTCGTCGTCGTCATTTCAACCTGCCATCAATGCATCAATCAATCAACCGAGAGGCCAAAAATTAGTAAAAAAAATTTAAATATATTTTTTCGGGAGATCAAATATGAAACTATCAACTCCTAAAAATATGACAATCATGTTCTATTTTCTTTATAACACTGAAGCAAGCCATCAAGCACACATGAAACACTATAAAAGGGAGAGTCGAGATGATGAAGAGAGGGTCGAAAAAAGAAGAAAGCAAAAAGAAATAGAAAAGAATGAGCTTATCTTTTTCGTGGGTCACCAGAGAATGCTTTGAAGAAGTGTTGGAGTTAACAAAGCTGCAGTGTTTTTCATAAGATCTGCGACATTATGATCGATTTTAGACTAAACGAATCTTGGATCCTTAATTAGGGCGAGGATAAGCTTCGAACGATGTCTTCTTCTCTTTTCTCTGGCTTTGGTGGACGGTGGTTATCGCTGGTCAATGGCAGTTGTCGTGGCAGGACCTCACTGGTTTCTGGAAACCCAAGAACCCCGCCGAGACTATGGGAGAACTCTCCCAATTTTTTTAAGAACTGAAAAAAATAAAGGCTAGTGTTTTTCACCCTATAATGATGCTTATATACACACGGCAAAACGAAATCGTTTTAGCTTAGTAGTTGCACCTTTTAGGTGAGAAAGGGGCTAACTGTGCAAGTGGTCATCCAATGTTTGTATGAGCTCATTTTTAGTCACTGAATAGAACTTTATTTGTTTTGGTTCCGAGCTCTTAATTTTACTTGGCTTATATTTTAGTCGCTACTCTAATTAATATTATATGCTATGGATTATTTACATGTTTGGTCCTTTTTATGTTCACACGTATCTCATTTTAGCCCCCATGGTCGGGGCATTTTAATTATTTTAATTTGGTTTTTAAATTTTATGCGCATTATATTTTGGTCATTACCTTAGTTTTTTATGGACTATTTACACAGTTAGCCTATGTTATTTTAATTCCTTACGATTTTGTCCTTAATTAAAGGATAATAGTATATATTTGATCCCTATTTCTCATTTATCTAATTTTCATCCCTGTACTTTTGATATATGTATATACCTAATTTTTTACCCATATATTTTATTGTTGATTATTCATTTTTGCATATTTGATGTATTATATTTATATGTACATTATATATATATATATATATATATCTTTATCATCCCTTTATGTGTCATGTGTATATATTTATTGGTATTGTGACTAACATTTATTTATATTTTTAAGAAAGTTTATGTACCTATTTTTTTTATTAACACCAGGAAGGATATTTTCAAATATTGTATTAAGTACTTTTTTTTGTTTTATAAAACTTTATAAGATTATTTGTTAATTACTCGAATAACCTATGAAAGACTTCCAAACACCTGGTATACCCTTCCGAGGGTTATTAAATAAAATATTTTAACATTATTATTTATTGCTTATTAAGTTAATTAAATATATATATTTTTACTTTAAATATTATATATATATATATATATATATTTATATTTTTATATATTACGTTTTACACAATTATTTTAATAAATATAAATTTTCATTGTTATTTATTTCTTGTATTTATTTATTTACCTTCATTTAGTTATTTTATTTATTTATTTATCCATGTTTAGTTTAATTTTATTTTATTAATATTTCATCCATTCTATATACGTAATTTATTACTGATGCATTCATAAATCATGCACGTATTTTCTCATTTTTTAATTATTCAAATGCAATGTTGTCTTACGTCATAGATTAACAAAATTACGTCCAACATGACCGAATTTTAATTCCTGTTAATTCACGTAGTAGGAGGACACCCTTTTCAAATAAAATCGAGCGACTTCAATTATTTTCACTGAGGTGAATATTTTAAAATAGATTCACTCATTCTTTAAAAAAATCATAGAAGTAAAATGATCATAATTTAAATTTTAAAATTTGTAAAATTTCACTATTTAGACAACATATAATCAAGAGGTACTAATTTTGGGCGTTGTGGGTGCTTCCCCTTCCCAACGCTTAATCGACTCTCGAACATTTGAAAATGAATCTTTTGTAAACAGAGGCCAATTTTATCTTAAAAACGATTTTTCTTAAAATCGTTTTAAAAAACGTTTTTAGGTATTCAACCTATCTAACCCAAAGGTCGATGACGACTCTAAATTTTAAATTAAACTAAAATTCAAAATTTTAAAAATAAAGTCATAATTATTTATAAAAAATGGGTATGACAACTGAAATTCCTAGAAACAAAACAATGGTGATCCTTTGTGAGAAAATAGAGCAAATTCATTCTAAAAGGAAAAACACCCAAATCCTCATAATTTTGTCGTGTATTTTCCCTCAAATTATCAGGAATCAAACAGAGTAACATTAATTTCAAAATTTTCATCAAAAAGGAGAAATACCATAAAAAAAAAAATTTAAAAAGAAGTTTTAAAGAAGTCTGTCGGGTGTTCGCATACCTTCAGATTCCGACAAAAGCTGAGCATTTATCAAAACTAAGTGAAGCAATTCAAAGTGAAAATTTCAAAACACACAAAAAAGAGCAGAAACATTCTTAAATATAGGAAAAACAGACCCCATTTTCTTCTCATTGCTTTAATCCCCTATGAGTTTATCTTCTTTCACTTAAAACAGTGTACTAGTTTGGCCATTTAAGCTGGATGGTGAAGAGATTAGAAGGGGGGAAAGAAGATGGCGAAGAGATTAGAAAGAGAAGATAAGAAGATGGATAGAGTAAGGTAAGGAAGAAGAAAGTGAACTGGGTTTAAGATAATAAAAAAATAAATAATATTAATTGAATAAGAAATTAATAAAAAAATACTAGGTTATGAAGGAGTTAAGAATTAAACGGTCGAGAGACAAAAAAAAAAGTTCAATGTCTAAAGTTTAGTGAGTAAATTGAAAAAAATTAAAAGTATCGTGAGTGAAATAGAAGAAAGAGTAAAATTTAATAAGTCGTAAGCGTATAATTTACCCAAAAAAGTAATTAGTTAATCTAAACATTCGATTTTCCTCAATTCAATGATTCTAAAAGTATGTAAAATTTTTAGCTTTATACTAGACGTAAGTGGATCATATATATAATCTTTACATTTTAGCAATTCATCTCTTGAGTTTTAATAATTTTCATCAATCTAGACTTATTACATCCCAAATTTGTAAAATCTCATAATCATGGATATTCTTCAAGGTGAAAGCTTTGGCAATGTCAAGTTGAAAACTTATGTTCATTAACTTGGATTCGTAATAATAAAGAATTAAGATTAATTTAGGAGCTTAAAACAAAATAAAGTTGTTATTGTTTTAAGAAATTTCTAAGAAGCTACAAGGTTAGTAAAAACAAAATTAATTTAGGAGGACGACAAATAACGATGACAACGATCAAATAAATGTTAGATGATGATACAAATTTTGAATTTTATGATTTTTAGGTTTTTAGAATCTTTATGATATTTTTAGATTTTAATATCTAACATCAATTTTTCTTTAACACAACGGTACGATGGTGATGGTGATGGTGATGACAATGCAAGTGTCCTAATAGTTAAATGATTATATTGTAATTTTTGATTTTTTAGCTAATATGTAAATAATGTAAAAGCTTGGGACTATTTAAGTAGTTTATCCTAAAAATAATATAAATAAAATATCTAAAATTGCATCACGTGAGCATGCACTTTCTCTTGATTTTTTCAGACAAAAAAAAAAGTTACTTTTTTTTTGTTTCTCTTTTAGCTATATAATTGGCTGAAAGTGGTGAAGGATGAGTACTCAGATATTATAAGAGAGCACTCTCCACTCAAGAGATTCTGAAAATAAGATAAGATCAAATCAGATCGCTTGCTACCAGGTTCTTCCTCCGCCCTTTATTTTCCTTTGCTTGTTTGGCTGGTGAGAAAATTAATTTAAATCTAAATAAACGGCTCATTTTCATTTCTCTGTTCTTTTTATGCTCTTTTAACTCTAAATCTGTGCTTTCATGTTTAATTCAAACGTAGTTGATTTAGCTATAACTTCTAAGCTTGTGATTTTACATGTTTTTTTTCTTTTTATTATTTGTGTTAGCCTCTTATATTTCAATCTGAAAACCAAGGTTTCAGATATACCGAGTTAGTGGGGAAGCTGTTGCTTTTTCTTCTAAATTTTGGTATTATTTTCTGGAATTATAGTAATTTTCAGATCAGCGGCTTGATATGTATAAGAAATCTTCTTAACTATTAATGGACAATGCTCCGTGCTTCATAATTTTGATAGGCGGAAACTGATTTTCATATTTCAGTTCTGAAAAGGTTCAAATTTTGTTTTTAATGGTATATGGAAAGTAATGTTTCCTTGCACAGAGTATTCAAGATTATACATTTTTTCCCTTTTATCTCTTAAACCTCTACTCTACATTTTATGCATAAAGGTTTATGATTTTCGCTGAAACACATAGAACTTTGCGGAGTTCTCAAATTAAATTTAAGCTCATCGTGCAGTCCTTTAGAGTATTAGAAACTTCATTAGAAAGAATTCTTCTGTTCATCGGATGTAAACTTTGTGAAGTTTGATATGCTATAGATCTTTTGTCATTCCCAGTAATTCTGATTTAATACGACAATTTTCTTTCATTCTTGATATGTAATATATGCCATTAGATAACTTATTTATATATATTTTTTATTTAATCAAAGTCAACCACTTCGAGCTGCATTTATAAATTATGTTTGTTGTAGATTTGTGAGCGTGGCTAATTGATTGATGATTGTGTGGTAATAGTTCATTGATAATTCTCAACATGTTTGGTCAATCCAGATATGGCGTCGGTGCATGCTAGCTTCACATCAGTTGTATGCAAGAATGGGAACCATTCTGCTCCTACAAGGTTTCCATGCACAACCTTCTTACCTGGCTTTGATGTTGGTCGTGTTTCAAATGCTTGTAAGAAGGAAATATGTCCTTCTATGAGTTCAGTTCCTAAAGCCACATTAACTTTTGATCCTCCAACTACCAATTCGGAGAGCAAACAGAGGAAACATACCATAAACCCTGCTTCTCCTGATTTTGTGCCACTTCCATCATTTGAAGAATGTTTCCCAAAGAGCTCAAAGGAATGCAGGTTAATGTGGTTATACATGTAGCTTATTGGTTCTATTTCATTTCCCTTTAGCTTTAAATTATTTTCTAATGCATGATCAATCTTCCAGGGAAGTTATTCATGAACAATCTGGCCATACACTCAAGGTTCCCTTCCGAAGGGTGCATTTATCCGGAGATGTGCTAAACTTTGACACATATGACACCAGTGGTCCTCAAAACATCGATCCACGCATTGGTAGGAAGCTCAAGCTACTTTTATCTTCTTTCTCCTTTTTGAAGGCTTTAATATTAACTCTTTTTTCAACGTTGTTTTGTTTAACCAACTCCCCTCTTTTTTATTCATGATGAATATTGTTTGTTTGTTTGAGTATTCTCTATGCTCTTATTACTTTCTGTTCCTTTCCATATATTGGATATAATGATATTGTTAGTTTTGTAGTTAAGTTAAATGCTAAGTATTGTGCATGACATCTTTAAACAGGACTCCCTAAATTGCGTAAGGATTGGGTCGATAGACGAGAAAAGCTTGGTGCACCAAGATACACTCAGATGTACTATGCGAAGCAGGGAATTATTACTGAGGAAATGTTATATTGTGCTACTCGTGAGAAGCTTGACCCAGAATTTGTTAGGTCAGAGGTTGCCCGTGGGAGGGCAATCATTCCTTCCAACAAAAAGCACTTAGAGTTGGAGCCAATGATAGTTGGACGGAACTTTTTGGTCAAAGTAAATGCAAATATTGGAAATTCAGCTGTTGCAAGTTCTATTGAGGAGGAAGTTTACAAGGTTCAATGGGCAACAATGTGGGGTGCTGATACTGTTATGGATCTCTCAACTGGACGCCACATTCATGAGACCCGTGAATGGATTCTACGTAACTCTGCTGTGCCAGTTGGAACCGTGCCCATCTATCAAGCACTGGAAAAAGTAAATGGAATTGCTGAAGATCTTAGTTGGGAAGTCTTCAGGGACACCCTGGTTGAGCAAGCTGAGCAGGGTGTAGATTACTTCACCATCCATGCTGGGGTACTTCTGCGATACATTCCCTTAACTGCAAAGCGCATGACAGGAATCGTTTCTCGCGGGGGATCTATTCATGCAAAATGGTGCCTGGCATATCATAAAGAGAACTTTGCTTATGAGCATTGGGATGACATACTAGATATCTGCAACCAATACGACGTGGCACTTTCAATTGGGGATGGACTAAGACCTGGATCTATATATGATGCAAATGACACTGCTCAGTTTGCTGAGCTTTTAACCCAGGGGGAGCTGACTCGTAGGGCTTGGGAAAAGGACGTACAGGTATCTCATTGCAACTTACACGATTTCCCCTGCTCTGTTTATAAAATGTTTAGAAGTACTGCTTGATTTGAGACATATTAATGGCTCTGCATGGTCTTGATTATTTAATAATATCGGCATTGATTTTTAAAATGTTGATATCAGGTTATGAATGCCGATCTCTGTTTCAAATGAAAATATATCATGCAATATCACGTAATTGGCAATCTCATATCAGGGATCTGTCAGTTGTTTAACCGGGAATATTGCTTGGTGTATTCTTAATATAACTTATACCTCGGGTTCTCCTATTACTCATTTTTATGAATTTTTCATTTTTGCGCATTTCAGGTAATGAATGAAGGACCTGGACACATCCCAATGCACAAGATTCCTGAAAATATGCAAAAGCAGCTTGAGTGGTGCAATGAAGCACCTTTTTATACCCTTGGTCCTTTGACAACTGATATTGCTCCAGGATATGATCATATCACTTCTGCAATTGGTGCAGCCAATATTGGGGCCCTTGGCACAGCACTTCTTTGTTATGTTACTCCAAAGGAGCACCTTGGGTTGCCAAACAGAGATGATGTGAAGGCTGGTGTAATAGCATATAAGATAGCTGCTCATGCTGCTGATTTAGCCAAGGGTCATCCACATGCTCAGGAATGGGACGATACATTAAGCAAGGCGAGATTTGAGTTCCGATGGATGGACCAGTTTGCTTTGTCACTGGATCCTATGACTGCCATGTCCTTCCATGATGAAACACTTCCATCTGAAGGTGCCAAAGTTGCTCACTTTTGCTCCATGTGTGGACCGAAGTTCTGCTCCATGAAGATAACAGAGGATGTTCGTAAGTACGCCGAGGAGCATGGTTACGGGAACCTGGAGGAAGCCATGCAACAGGGGATGGATGCTATGAGCGCTGAGTTCCTGGCTGCTAAAAAAACAGTGAGTGGTGAACAACATGGTGAAGTTGGTGGGGAAATCTACCTGCCGGCCAGTTATTTCAACTCTTCGGATAAGTGAGAGCAAGTATGGCAGGGATGTTCTTTGTTATTGAAATTCTAAAAGGAATTATATGTTGCATTCAAAATCCATGTTTTGTTCCCTAATGGAATATGCCTCGTCGGAATTTTTCCTTGCAGGGTTACATGAAGAAGGATAATTGCTTCGGAATCCCTGGGAGCCCTGGTGCATTATAATTAGCTCACTAATAACAGTTGTATTTGCAGTCATTTGACTATCGTGCTTTAGGTGAGTACCAGTTTAGTAGATCTTCAGACGCTTATATTTGTTATGCTTTATCTATTGCGAATTTAAATGATAAAAAAGGGGTTTCCGACTATCTTCCATGCACATTGCATTGTAATTTAAGCTTTTGGTGTCCGTATTGATGTAAAAACGCACCAGGGGTGCCTGTATCCGTGTTTCGGCACACGGCATTTTGGCCGAGATGCCCAGCGGATGAGGCTGAGAAAGTCCCTTTGAACCTGAACAGGATAATTCCTGCGTAGGGAGTGTGCTTTATTGTTGCTTGGTTGAACAGGAATGGAGCTCCCATGGCCTGATGGTTTGAGCTTAGCTGATACTCGAGGGCAGATACAGCTCTATGCCCCAACTTTTCACTCCGGAATTTGCCTTATCGGGTAAAACTAAAATTGGTAAATTTGCCAAACTTGAAACACTGGCTCTAATTATAATTTTAATCCATCTACCGTAATTTGATAAAATTTGGTCTCATCTTCTTATACTGTTATTTTGTAGGCCTAAAATGAGTATACCTTGTTCTTATTAAAGTGATGGTGTTGATTTTGTTTACTGCCATTTAATCTCACAATTAAGGTTATGGGAAAAATCCAATCAACAATGTCCAATTTATATATAAGTGGAATTTTTTTAAAAACGTTAATTATAACAAATAACATTATATTTTTTTATTAACATGGGGTAAATACAATGCAATATCTATCTAAAGATAATTTTTACACATTTGACATTGAACGTCCATATCCTTGACACTCAAAACATAAGAAATAACATTTCTTTTACCACTGAGATTATTGAATGCTTACACTCTGATACTCAAGACCTCAAGAAATAACAATAATTATTTTCTCACGACATTGCTCAGTTCGCACACATCATATTTAATTTTGATTTATTATTAACACTAAACCATAAAAAGTAATTTGATTTATTATTAACACTAAACGATAAGAAGTAAAATAATATTAAGTTTTAGCATGATGGAGGAATTAAGCCAGAATTTGTTTAAATGTGTATTTTTTAAGTTGAAAAATAAGCGATTCGTTTATCATTAAAATCATATATTAGAGTAGTAGAAATTTATTTTGACAAGAGTAAGTAGAAGTTTATTGAAAGTTCATTATGATACTTTCTCTCATTTCGTCCACAGCGGTGATTCACTAACGTTCTCAAACTTCCTATTCTAAATCTTAATATTATAATATTATTATGGGTAAACTATCCATATGATCACTTAATTATAAGGTTCGTGTCTATATCTATATCTATATTTTTTTATTTTGTCAATATAATTATTTAAATGATTTTAATCAATTTGTTGATAACATTTAAAGAAGTATTGACGTGACAATTAACAAAATTCATATAATTATATGTTTGATTTTTAATATTTATATATTCAATCAATTTGATCTTAATTTTAATTTAACTTAATAATTTAATCCGTCAATTAGGAAGTGACATGTGCTAATATATGATCATGACATATGTTACAATTGACATATGTCAACATCTAATTAAAAGTTATTTTCATTATTTTAATTTATTTAATTAAATTTATTTTCTATCAAATCAAATGATAATTCGTATCACAAACATATAATTAAACTTGGGTCCTTGGCTAAGAAGTAGAGCGTCCAAGCTCCTGGGCTAAACGCCTTAATTTGTTTTTTACCTTATAATATTATTAATAATAGAAAAATAAAGAAATAAAAGTATTCAAATGAGAATTCGAACTTAGATCAATTATAAAATATAAGAATATCTAAATCAATTAAATAAATATAGGCTTAAGTGTTATTTTTGCCCCTATAGTAAACTAAATTTATTATTTTTGTCCCTAAAATATTTTTGCATCATTTTAGTCCTAAGTTATTTAATTGCATCATCCTATACCTAAATCCTAATATAAAACCCTAAATTCTAAATCCAAAACCTAAACTCTAATCATAAACTCATACCCTAATGCATAACCCATAAATTCTAACTTAAAACCCTAAACAATAATAAATATTTTAAACATTGATGCAATTTAGCAACTTCGATGACTAAATTGATATGAAGATATCATAGTGGCAAAAATGATAAATTGAGTCTACTACATGGGTAAAAGTGACTCTTAAGACATAAATATAATATTTTTATAATTAAATATTATATATATATTAAATTGTATTTGATATAAGATTTGAAATTAAAAATAAATTTAATAATTTTATATTTCTAAATTAAATTTATTATTTTTTTCGTATTACACTTTTTGCTTTGTTTAGCATGAATAAGATTACAATTTTAGTTGGAGGAATATAAGATTATTTGGATGCATATTTTTCCAAATTATCCTTGTGATATATATTTTTTAACAAGTAAAAATTTAATATTAAATTATAAATATTTGAATGAAAATTTATAAAAATATTTTAATTATTACACTATCTAAGTTTAAAGAGAAAAAATATACATTTAACATATAATTAGTATATCAAACTTATAATTTTAAATAATTTTCATAAGTATCATATTTAATTATATAAAATATAATATGATATTAAAAATAATATTGTGATATAGAGTGGATAAAAATTTTATTTTTTAATGTATAAGATCTATTTTTAATAACTCAAAATTAAATATTGTTTTAAATAATTATATTTTTACAATAATAATTTTTCACCTCATAAAATTATAAAATAGTTAATATACTAAATATTAAAAATATAAAAAATAATTTTAACTAAACAAATTTATCAATATTTTACTGAATTAAACTCTTTGTATATTATTATTATTAAGTTTATAATTTTGAGTAAATCACGAATAATAAAAATTGAGAATGATATATATGAATAATTTATTATTTCAGGGGTATTTATGTCTAAAATGGTGGGAATTGTTCATTACTAAGAATTTGAAGGTAATGACATTCTTACCATTTTAACACAAAAGTTCTACTATTGGTAATAAGTTATTTCCTGATAATGATATTTTCTGTGAACTAAATATGAGAATACAATCCTAAAAAAATCATTTCCCTTAATAACGTCCTTTTCCGCTAATCAAACGCCCTTGAAATACTCTAAAATTTCTGAAGTGTAGCGGTCCTTAACAAGACATGAGAACAAATTTGATAGTTGTCCTAATTTTTCACGCAAGTTAAAGGTGATAATATTTTTCACACCAATAGCATAAAATAATATCGAATCCCATCATGAACGAAGATATAGAAATTACGAAGTTTTTTTAATTTGTTTTAGTAACAATATATAGACCATTAGATTTCCATCTTAAAAAGCAAGTTTTCATATAAAATCTATATACAATTGAAATTGACCAAGCTATCTTTTTTTCACCAAAATCATTCATGGACGAAACTGTAATTTTCATCACTATCAGTATTAGTTGAAGTTGTTGGATTAAAATCCATATTTGTGGGCACATATATATAATGTACATTGTTATCATAAAATATGACACAAAATTAAGTGATCAATTATGTTATATGTGTTATATGTATTAAAGTGTCATAGAATCAAAGTATAGATATCATAAGTTGTATTTATAATTTGATGAGGGGTAGAATTATAAATACTTAAAAGATTGACCTAATATTCAATCTATATAATGAGGTAGTGGTCCCTAAGAAATAGATTAGCTTGTATTACTCTTATCCCGTCGGAGAGTTTTTACGACAAAAGAAAACCTATATTCTTTGGAAGACTACAACAAAGAAAGACTCAAAGATTTCAACCTATCAATTAATTCAAGTACGCTTCCGTAAATCTAGTATTTTATTCTTAATGATTTGACATGATTAGATCATGGTTAATTATCATGTTTATTATGATTTTGTTCTAACATGTGATATCATCGTCTGTCACGTTGAATCATTGAGAATCATTTTTTTTCTTTTTCAATTTGATTTATTCCTAAAATTTAAATAATCTCATAATACTAATAGTATCGTTGTTGCTTGTTAAGCAATTGATTTTCCTTTGATAACAATGTGTTTTCATGTTTTCTTATTGTTGCTTTTACATGTTATCGTGTGCAATCAATTTAAGGTTTAATATAGATTAATTTATATATGATCCTTTGGTTGGCAATAGTTATTATGGTATTTGTATTTTCACGGTGGTTAAGGATTTTCTTTAGAATTTACTTTAGCATATTAATTAGATTTTGATTATATGAGTCATGGTAAAACTAGGGTGATGATAATTGCTTCTTCTTTTTTTTGTTATGATATTATTTTGAAAGTAGTTTTCACTTAATTATGAAGTTGGTTTTGGTTATTTGTATCATGTTTTATTTTAATTTGGTGAATCTATGATTAAAAAATTCTTAAGAAATAGTCAAAGATTAAGGTTTTCAGTTTCTAATAACGTCGTTTAGACAACCTTATTATAGGTTACTTAGAAAAGTATGACGTGATTAGAAAATTTAGTTTTGGTTTTTGACTGTTATGGATTATAAAATATATATTTGACATTGATATATTCGATTCAGTTTGATTAAAAAAATATTTGTTTTAATCTTAAAAAAAATATTCATTAGTATGTACTTTGACCTGACTTATGGTTAAATGTTGATTGTTTTGAATTCATAATGTCTTTAGTAATTTATGAAGTTATGAATTGATTGCATGTTTAAAGAATTCTTCAGAAACCATCAAAGACTTGAATTTTCATTTTTTTGGATAAGTAGGTTTTATTACCCAAGTAAAAAAGGTTCATCGTACAACAATCATCCCAATTGGGAGTAAAAACACATATTTACAAAAAAAAAAGATTAGTCAATACCCCAATAATTACAAAGTTTGGAATTAACATAATCTAGTCTATTAAAATCCTTGTCACTGAGTTTGAATCGAACTAGCTCCTTTATAGACGTGAGGAGTTGATCTGCTGTTCTTGATCCTCTGCTGAAAATTCTTCTGTTTCTTTCCTCCCAAATGAAGTATATAAAAGCAGTCCAGGCAATCCTCAATATGGTGGAAATGAGAGATTTACCTTTCCATGTTTGAGCAGCCCATTCAATCCTTGAATCCCAAGACCTGTGAGTATCTCGCATGCTAGATAGATTCATAATAGAATTCCAGAGTGAAGTAGCATAAGTACATTCAACAAACAAATGATTTCTTATTCATGATCCTCATTGCACAAAATACAAAGGCTATCAGAAGCAATTCCCATTCTAATAAGTCTATCTCGAGTAGGAAGGCGATCTAGAATGGTCATCCATGTGATAATGCTAAGCTTAGGGATGTGAAGTGGAAACCAAATCACTTTATGCCAGGAAACTTTGTCTCTGTAAACTCTGATATCTTCCCAAATTTCTTTCGTTTTCGTGACAACAGCAGTTAAATTAGGAAGGACTTCATTGTTAATTTTCATGATATTGTAGTGCAATCAGAAATTTCAATTTTGACATTTGATTGTTATAGAAA